CCCAAGTTAATTCGCCCTTAATTTACTCATGAGATTTTACCAGCAAAAAGAGTATTTTCTCCATGAGAAACATCCTGAAAAGTCACTCCCACAGATACGGACTAAAGGACTCTTCTGTGCTTGAAAGAGAGGAAAAGATCAGCCCAACAGCACTAATCACATAATCTTTGTCCTCAGGGAGCTTACTGTGCTGTACGGAATTCAAGTCTTTTAGAAAACGAAGATTTTTCTTAAGCTCTCGAGTCTTTTCTGTTGGTGCTCCTGTTCTTTTGACATAAGAAAATACATCATCTTCTAAATTAAGATTGTAGTAGTTCAAAGGGAAGAAAAAAATCACAAAAGAACTAAGAACATCAGAGAGGAAGGCACTCTGGACTGGACATAGGACCTGTGCAAACATCTGGACCTTCTTACGCAAGGGGTGGGCAGGAAGCAGACAGCCTCACCACCGGTAGAAGGCAGTGTGGGGACACTGAACTCAGTACGTGCAGGGCCAGTGGGGAGACCCTTGAAAGTCAAACAGGACTCTAGGTTATAAGGCAATCTGGGGACACTGCACTACTGAGCAAAATAACAAAATGGGTTTAACAAAAGCTAACTAGAACATAGGCCTCCAGCCTATTTTTGATATGGAGGTGGATAAATCAAAGGGTAAGCCCAAACTAGCAAGCAGAGAATGAGGTCAAGTATTGTCAAGGGCCTAACTTTCAAGTGTGTGATCTGGCCTTACCCTTTGGAGACAAATGCAAAACACTGTACATATCTCCACAATCAAATGCTGGCCCTGCAAGCCCCACAGGACTGCTGGGGCCAAGGGCTCTAGCAGACGGGACACGCTGGGTTGGTCTGTCATGGATTCAGAACCACTCCTAGGAATTCACCAGTTCACGTGCTACCAAACCAAATGCACATGGAAAGAATAGGAACAAAAACAGAAAAGTCTACACAGCTTGAGAAAAATCTTCAAGTGTGAGGGAGACACACGTACACTCAGCAGGATCGCACAGATGGAACTAACTCAAATATACATGTGCAGACTGGCACAGGCAAGAGGGCTGAAGCCCGGAGACTCACACTGCTCGGGGCTCATTGTGATAACAGAACCCCTGGCCTTGCATTGCTTCATGACACCAAAAGGACAGGAAAAATGGTTTCCAACCCACAGACCCCGGCTCCGTCTGCATACCAAGACCATTAGATTTGGATTAAAATATGAAGCCGGATAGATTTAAGTCTATGTTACCTTTGAAAATTAAATTATTGTAGTTATCAGTTAATAACTTTAATCATCAAAAGGAAAATTCCAAGCAGAAAAATTAAATGTTAACAGATGGTTACTTATGGAAAATCCTGCACTGAAAAAATGATTATCTTCTTTCTTCCTTTTATATACAGTTCCCCTTTCTACGTAAGTGTAACTGAAGGAAAAAATGGTGGACTTATATGTGCAAAGGTAGACATGTTAGAACTGCTTCTAGAGTTAACGCAGGAAAAGCTGTATCACGTGGGCCTAAGTTTTATTATCTGCAAAATGAAGGTGGTGATGTTTATATAACTACTGCGTGCATTTCTACTGTTAAAGGAGAATAAGATAAACTGATTCACGCTACGAGGATGAACTTTGAAACCATTATGCTAAGTGAAAGAAGCCAGAGACAAAGGGCCCCATATTGTATGATTCCACTTATATTAAATATCTGGAATAGGCAAATTCATAGAGACAGAAAGCAGATTAGTAGCTGGCAGGGGGAGCGGAAGGGGAGGTTGGGGAGTATCACTGCTTAAAGGGTACCGGGTTTCATTTGAGATGATGAAACATTTCTGAAAATAGAAAATAATGATGGTTGTATAACATTGTAAAAGTGCTTAATGCCACTTTTTCAGTGCAGGATACTCTACTATGGTTTAAATGATAACTTTGATGTTATGTCTATTTTACCAAATAAAAAAGGAGCGAGAATAGAAAATAACATTCTGACCATGTACTCTATACATAATAAATATCTTATTAACAGAAGTTATAAATTTTTAAGCCGATCATAACTGTGGCTAAGTTGCTAATCTAAATTTTCTATTTTCATTTTAGTGGGCACGTCTCGGACAAAACTATCATAAACCATTCTGTCTCCTTTCTCTAACGTGGCTATAAAAGGTTGTTTTGTGCAGACACCTACAAAGCTGGACTGGGAGGAGTAGGAGCCAAGAAAGCTGTATTGTGGTACAAGAAGTAGTCCAAAAGCACCATATCTACCACCAAAAATCTTAAGACAGGAGTGTGGCCTCTGCCACCGCTCTGGTAGCACTGACTTCACCTGTGACATCATGGGAAAAGGTTAATTCGCTCACTCATCAAATGCTTTTTGAGTATCTACTACAAGCCGAGCAGTGGGCTAGATAATGTAATTATAACACTGTGAAATTACAATCCCTTCTATCAAGGAAATTTCAATGTAGAAGGCAAGAGGGATATGAACTAAAAATTACAAGAGGTTGAGAAGGCAATTGACTCAACGTAATATCAGCCAATAACCAAAGCCCGCCTACTATTGGGAGTCCTGACTATAAGTTACCATTTTAACTGTAGTAGAATATACGTTTCAGTGGCATTAAGTACATTCACAATGTTGTGCAAGAGTTCACTAGATTTTGACCCTGTGCCTCACACCTGAGAGACGGGCCTTTGCAAAGGTAAAGTCAAACTGCGGCTGATGGGGAGAGTTCAACCTGAGGGCTTTGGCAGAGGACCGGCCCAGCCCCTAGAGGACCAGACTCTGATCTGAGAGAGAACACCTCCCTCTGCCCTCTGTGAACCAATTAGCCTGGTCCCTAGACAAGCCCAGTCCCTTAAGCTATCTTGTGGTTCCCACAACAATAGGGTTGGTGGCTATGCTATGGGATCCAATGGGTGTCAGGAAGAGGGTTTAATTGGCAAAATCTGTTAAAATGTGAGGCCCAATCTTCTGAAAGTTTACCCTTTATCCTTACTACCTATCCTTCACTCCAGAGTCAATCTAGTTTCTAGATGATAGTTCTCTGGTGAAACCTACATGGGACATTAAAAAGTATTAGTTCCTGGGCCTCCCCACAGACCTGATGATACAGAATATCTGGGGTGAGCATGGCATCAATATTTTCTTAAAGCACTCCTGGTGATTTTTATGCTGGCAGGATTGAGAACTACTCATCTGGGAAAAAAAAGGGAAGGGACCTGGCTTTACCAAGTGCCTGCTATGGACTGGGTACTGTGCTAGCTCCGAACATACAGTATCTATATCTAGAGCTGTAGGTGTCCCTCCCATATCCTCTTGGACTTGTTCTGGCCATAAGCATATGGCTCCTCTGAGAAACACTCAACCTTAGAGGGACAAGAGATCAAGGATAGATACCTCAGTTTCCATCCCTCGGGTGAAATAACTCTGAGACATACTTTAAACCTGGGGTAAGCAAATTAGTCCTGTGAGGGCCCAGACAGTTAATATGTTAGGCATTATGGACCATATAGTCTTTCTCTTGACTACTCAAATTTGTCTTTGCAGTGCAGAAGCAGCCATGGCACAGAGTTGGTCAACTCCTGCTCTAATTCCCAGAGGTTCTCAGTGGGAATGAGTTCCATCCAGTTGTAGTAACCTGTTAATAACATGCTGTATAGACTTCATTCTCTTACTATGTGTACTTCCTAGGATCACCGGCTAGAGAAACTACTTGCACTCAAATCCTTGCCTCTTGGTGTGCTTCTAGGGCCACCCAACCTACTTCAGTATCGTGTTTTAAACTCAAAACTACTCCAGCGGTTGAATATTACCATCTCCATTTTACAGTGAAGAAATTGAGATTCAAGGACTACAAAACTCATAAGGAAGAGAGTCCAGATTAGAAGCCTCTTTGCCTCCAAAGTCAATGATCCCTCTACACAACCAGAGGAGAGATGGATACAAACAAATAAACCACACACGCACATACACATAAACACTTAATCAAATATGTAGTTTTAATTATGCGAGCAAGAGAACCACATACGGCAAATCATAAGGCAAAATTTATACTACTCATATAATTACTGAGCTATGTTAAGGGAGGGGTTTAAAAAGAAATAATAATATACGTAGTAAGGTTTGAGGGTTGTGAAAAAGTTACTCTTATTTTTTATGCTGTTTCTAATCTGGGATAGAATTCATGTCTTGCCTATCAACGGGCTATGATCCTGGTGCTACGTCTTCTCTGCTGAAATCTTCATTTATGCCTGGAAACAAACACAGCCACTCAAGGGAAAGCTCGATGTATAATTTGAAACTTGCAGAGAAAGGAACTAGATTAGAATAACCTCTTACCTATTTTAACCTGGGGCTAGGAGGATAGTAATTTCTCAGAGTCCCCTGAAAGGCACTTGTGAAGGTCCCCTATGGACCCTAAGGAGTCCAGAGAACCCAGGGCTGGCACAGTTAGCAACCAATCTTTTTAGCTTACGCGGTCTTGCCCTCGTTGTCCTGTTTGGTGGCACTGGCCCCCTTCTTGCCCAGCAGCGAGGCCACCTTCTCCACGTCTCCATTCTCCACTGCCTGCAGCAGGCGGTCATCATTCTTGTTCCACTCATTGGTCTGTGGAGCAAAGGGGAGACACAGAGTCAGTGGACGACGGCAGGGGCCACGGCCATACTGACCGGCAGGCCCTCGTTTTCCTAGCTCCCCACCCTCCCCTCCCATCGCTCAAATCGAAATCTTCCCTCAAATGGGCACTTTAAAAATACCTCCCCCTTCACCGTCGTGGCACTCAAGAAGGCCGGTTTCCCAAAAGGAAACATCAGCAGTTCAATGAAGCAGCGCTGGTCACCAAGCTCGGAAATAAAGTCACTTCTTTTAACTGAAGTTGGGAAGATGAAGTAACTTACCTTAAAGACCTCGAGGCCAGTTTACACATTAGCTTATTTCTAGCTAAACTCAACAGCTGGCTTCTCAGGACACCGGCCTTTGACCTGTTCCACAGCTCACTGGGCCAACGGTATTACAGAATCAAACTGGCCAATGGCTCAAGGTTACCTGAGAGTTTATACACACACAATTCTCTGCCTGCTTTTATTGCCACTCTCTCTGGCCTGCTGACTGGGCCCTGATTTTTGAGCTGCATACTGGTTTTAAGTCGTTGTCCAGGCTACCGATTCAACAAACTATATCACCAGACACAAAACTACTTCCTGAACATCAAAGAGCTTTGAGCAAAGTCTCCACCACTGCCAACCCCCAGCCCCAACAGAGCACTTATGCAAACCACAGTAACAGTAAAGCTTTCATGTGCACAAAATCTAGTTTTTCCTCTTATAAAGGAAATAGAGGATCTCTATATAAGAGGAAATGGGCTTTGAGTACAAGACTAGAAAGTTTCAAATGGGAAATGGCAGCAGTGAGCCATAGAAGGTTTTGGAGCAGAGGAGAGAATAAAGTCAGTGAGTGGAGAAGGGTCATTAGAAGGTGTATGAGGTGGATTAACGGGGAGAGAACCCATGGGTCACCTCCAGACCATCCCTAACTAAGTTTACCTTCTGGACCCTCTAGTTGTGGATAACACCACCCTGGAGAGTCCCCCTCCCTCTCCAAGCTTTCTACACATGTTTCCAGGACTCTCTGCTTCCTGCGGGCTCTGATAAAGCAGGAGTGGGTCTACTAGATGTCCTAGGCCTCCCTCCAACTCCTGCCTACTGGCAGGGCCTTAGAGAAAGCCACAGGCCATGAAGGAGTGAAGTAAGTGTGCCCAGGGCTCAAGTCATCGCTTCTCTGAGAGGCTCAGGATTGGACCGATCCCATTTCTCAGGACTGTTTCTTCTTGCGTTGGCCATCACTGAGTACAAGAGCGCAGGAAGAATGAGGTAGGTGTGAATGAAAATGAGAAACGTGTCTTCTAGGCCACATGAACTTGAAGTCCAGAACTCTAGATTGACACTTACATGTTATGAACTTTAAGTCACCTCCCCACACACAAAACAACCTTCTCTGTGCCTCAGTTTCCGAAGGCGTTGGACTGGGTGACTACTGTGATTCCTCTAAAGCTCAAAAAACTTAATCTGTAAAATGCTCCAAATCAGACTTTGCTAGGGATTGTTCTAGAACAGTACTGTCTGTGATAATGGAAATGTTCTGTATCTGCAATATCCAAACCTGTGGCCACTGGGCAGTGATTCTCAATCAGAGGTGATTCTGCCCCCTAGGGCACACGTGGCAATCTCCATAGACATTTTTGATGGTCATGACTGGGGAATGCTACTGGATTCTCCTAGGTGGAGGCCAGGTGCTGCGAAACATCCTACAATGCACAGGACAGCCCCTTCCCCACAACAAACAATTACCTGGCCCAAAATAGCGAGATCGCATTAGCCACATGTGGCTACTGAGCACTGGACATGTGTGTGGCTAGTGCAACTGAGGAACTAACTGTTAACTTTAATTTTAGACTTCAGTGCAGCTCTACATGACAGCTCTCTAAGTATTTTTAACAAAGTAAGAATGTGTCTGGGTCACTGTCATCCACACTCTCCTATAACCATCAATTTAATCACAAAGAAGATAGTAAGTCTTCAATTACAAATCAGGCTTCCTCTTGAAGGAGAATACGGTAAATAGACCGCCCCAGGAACGAGCATTTGTTTAGTAGAGTAGGAGGTTTTACTTAAAAACAAAATGTAGAAAAACCAAGAGACAGACTGCAGCTTATTTCCCTGATTGCATTTTTACAAGCCAAAACAAAACCAAAAAAGTTTATTGAAGTACATGTAAAACTCATGATTCCTATCTACATTATCCCAATACTACACTCTTAGTGTTGTCTTTTAAATCCTTCTCTGACTTAAACGGACCAAATTAAAACTGGATTGGGAAGATCAAAAGGATATAAAATCTCAGGGGACATGATTGAAAGTACTTAAGCAAAGAAAGACCACATGAAAGGATTTTCCTTTCCAGTGCTGCTAAGACACTCAACTCTCCAGGAGAGAGAAATCTGATTGCAGGGGTTCCCTAAAATTAGTTACATGTGGATATTTAGGGAATTCTATTTCTATAGGACATAACAAGAAAGATCCCCCCTCACCTGCTCTTTGGAAGACAAGGTCAAAGGCACATCCCTTGAGGTATAAAATTCTTCTCTTTCATCTAGTCTCTTCTCAATACACACCAGAAGTTTACTTTTCTCAGAGAGCAGATGAGGGGAAGAGAACATGGCTACCCACACACGAAGGTTTAATAAATATTATTAGCAACACCATTCAACCTGTGCGTGCTGCAGATGGAGTACAAGTAAGCACCAAGAAGAAAAAGGATGGGCTCTGTACATGTAGGCCTTAGAGTCGGAGCCAAGAGAACATTCAGAACAAACTGGGGAAACAGGGGCAAACCTAAAGAAGGACCTGCGGGAGAAAGCAGACCATCAGCTGGGAAATGAGGAGAGAAGGTAAGGGTTTTCGTCTTAAAAATTCTCACATTAAAATTCTCACGAGTATGCTAAAAGTAGAGGCCAAGAAGGGTCCCAAGTAGACCTCTAACTCAGGACTCCAGATTCTGAACAGTGAATCTTTCAAGGTGAAATGACATTACCCAGATCACGAGCCAGCAGAGCAGGGAGCCAACACTGATGTAACAGAGTGCTCTAGTCGGGCCAGGCCGACGGTTATACTTACAACTAGTTCCGCTCTACACAGCTGACCGTACCATGTTTCTTCCAGGAGCATGGCTTTCAAGATGCCATCACTTTCCTCTCCTAAACCCGTCCATGGAGATAATCCTTATATTTTCTCCAATATACTCTGTATCAAAACTTCCCTGGCCAAGCACAAGATGGGACAAAATAGATATTTAATAAACACCTTTAATGTCATTTCTCTTGAGAATCCAGAAGCATATTCCACTCCCCACCTCAATCCTCTGCTGAGTGGTACTAAATTGAAATCAAACATCAAAAGGAATCTTAAAGAACTATCTTGTCCAATCTATGGTTCAAAGGTAGTGTTGGTCAGATAAATAGGTTGTGATATTGTGGTACAATAAGAAATATACGTTTGTTCTTTGTCCCAGTTCCTAGCACAGAGCTCTTAAAACCCATGGAATTTCCTGAGTGATAGGGGTAGGAGGAACATCTTTTTCTTTTTTTATTCATAATAAGCCTCTTTCAACTTTACCTGAGTTTATGTTAATGAGGTGACTGATAGCTTCAGGATGGGGGCTGGTTGTCAGAGGAACCGACGACCACGGGATTACAACTTTCAGGTCCTGACTCAGACCTTCAGGAAGGGGAGAGGGGCTATAGCTTCAGGATGGGGGCTGGTTGTCAGAGGAACCGACCACGGGATTACAACTTTCAGGTCCTTACTCAGACCTTCAGGAAGGGGACAGGGGCTGGAGATTGAGTCACTCACCAATGGCTAATGATTTAATGGCTTTGTACTGGTCTCCACCGAGGTGCCGGGAAAGTGATGTGGAGAGAGATTGAGTCACTCACCAATGGCTAATGATTTAATCAACCATGGCTTTGTACTGGTCTCCACAAAAACTGCTAAACCACTCCTAAACCATGGGATTCAGACAGTTGCTGGGTTGGTGAACACACCGAGGTGCTGGGAAAGTGATGTGGAGAGGGCATGGACACATGCGTGCGCGCGCACACACACACACACACACACACACACACCCCATACCTTGCCCTGTGCATTTCTTCCATTTGGCTGATCCCAAGTTGTACCCTTTATAATAAACTAGTAATAATAAGTAAAGTGACTTCCTGAGTTCTATGAGCTGTTCTAGCAAATTATTGAAACTTAGGAGGGGATGGTGGGAACCCCCCGACTTTATAACTGATTGGTCAGAAGTAAGGTTGGCCCAGGACTTGAAATTGGCGTCTGAAATGGAGGCAGTCTTGTAGGACTGAGCCTTTAACCTGCGGGGTCTGATGTTAACTCCAGGTCATTAGTGTCAAATTTGAATTGAATCGCTGGACACCTTGTTGGTGGTAGGAGAGTTGGAGAATTGGTGGTTGACATGAAGAAAACCCCCCACACATTTGCTGTCAGAAGTGTTCTGTTTAAGAAGCAGACCATATGAAAGGTTGAGTCTGAAATGTTGCCATGACATCCCAAAGTAATTCACTCACCATCACGCAAACAACGAACATGCCCTCTCCCCACTTCCTGTGGAAATCCTCTCCTGTAACTGGCACGGTCTCCACAGGGCAGGCTTAGCTTTGCCCCCACACAAGGTTCCTCGTCCCCTATTAGTGGGTTAATCCAACATTTTTTTTTTAATGAAATAGAAAAAAACACACTATCTAAATAAGGTTAAATGTTTTCGTATGTGTGTCCTGGGTGATGATACAAAATATATATTTCTAATGGGAAATCACAATAGAAAACATTGGATGCCTCTACTTTAGAATACTCTGTCATCCCATCTACCTACGAAAGACTTTCTTCTAAACCCTAGCTCAAGCCCTGCAGGCTCAAGCCTTTCCTGGATATCTCCCTCTGCTTCTGCCCTCCATCATGTCAGTGTCCCAAAAGGAGCCACCTACTCATCTGACTGAAGCCCGCAGTCTAGACCCGATGAAGTACTGCATCCTGGCT